CCAGTCAGGTCTTTCGATCACTACGCTGAGAGTTCATCGTGGCCTTCCACACTTCCATTCCACACTGAAGGCCATTACATCCTTGCTCATCCCATGACCAAGAGACTGCTTAAGGGAATAGCGAACCTCAAACCCCCACAAAGACCCATCCCCCCTGCTTGGAGCTTGGTTTTGGTCCTTGACTCGTTAATGTATCCACCCTTTGAGCAACTAGACACCACGTCGTTATCGATGCTCAACACGAAAGTGGTATTCTTACTGGCCATTACATTCACCCGTAGGGTGAGTGAACTGGCACTGTTAATGGCAATGTCACTCTTCACAGTTTTCATGAAAGACTCAGTCACATTACGTACCCATCCAGCCTTTATCCCTAAGGTCGTGACACAATTTCATATCAACGAACCCGTCATTTTACCTGTCTTTTATTGGAAGCGTCATGCCTCAACTCGAGACTCGCTACTCCATACCCTCGAAGTACGTTGAGCTTTAGCATTCTATATAGACAGAACATGGACCTGGCGCAAGACCGACCACCTAATAGTATCCATTGCAGACCACTCCAAGGGCAAACCATTGTCTTCCCAGCATCTGTGCAGCATCATAGTGTCTTGTATTATCATGTGTCATTCGATGCGTAACAAGCCCCTTCAGACTATACCTAGGGCACACTCCACCAGGGCAGTAGCAACATCCATGGCATTTGTTAGAGGAGTCTCACTGCTGGAAATCTGCAGAGCAGCCACAAGGACCTCAAGTTTGACCTTTATGAATCACTGCGCAATAGTGCGGTGCCTTGCTTGGGTGGATGCCCAAGTCTTCGGTGACCTCACCAGTACTTTAGGTCATTGACAGTCCTAAACTCCAGGAACGCAATGTGAGTACTGCTATGAAGTCACCATGAGTGGAGCACCCCCGGGGACCACTCGAAGAAGAAGAAGTTATTCACCTTTGTGCAGTAATTATGGTTCTTCGAGATGGGTCCCCGTGGGTGCTCCACATCCCACTCTTCCTCCCCCTTTCAGAGTTATTTTTTTTTGTAACCTTACAGATGCAGAAAGGTGAGAGGAACTGACAGGTAAGCCAGGTGCACGCTAAGATCAAAGAGTGCGAATGGCATGTGCTGCACACCGCGCAGGCACGACCTGGCTGAAAACAACTATGCAAAGCCTCCGAGCTGTGGCGCTGGGACAAGCCCGACACCATGAGTGGCGCACCCACAGGGACCCATATCTAAGAACCATCGTTACTGCACAAAAGTAACTTCTTTTTTTCCCTGCTTTCCTCAGCTGTGCTGAATGTAAACTGGGTATAGTTGTCAATAGAGCCCATGAGCCTTCTTGCTTCATCAATAATGGAAAAGTGTAAAAGAAACCTTCTGAATTTATTGTGAAAGCATTTCATTTTGTGAAAATATGCATTTATTTGTTGACCAGATTTAGATTTTTATGAGTAGCTTATTGGTTCTATGAACACCTTGTTGAATTTGTACATTTTGGTAATGATTTCCTTGCCACAGTCACAGTTGAAAACATATAAAGAAGAGATAGAGATTACCGTGTGTGTGTATATACTAGCAACCTTCCAAACATTATGGAATCAGTTTCTGCTAACACACACACACACACACACACACACACACACACCTACAGCTAACTAGGAATGTTAGCGATAAGTTGAGTAGTCCACTATTGGATGGGTGGGAGAGCAGGAGCTGGTACTGGGGGGACTTTTAAGCTGGTTCCCCCCAGCATCAGCTCTGGGAAGGAGGGGTGGCAGAGGCACAACGAGGGACCTGGCACGAGGCAGAACTAAGCAGTCCCAGCTTGCACTGGGTCCCAGTACGTCCACACTACAAAGTTAATTCGAACTAACGTCCGTTAGTTCGAATTAACTTTGATAGGCGCTACACTAGCCCTCTGCTAGTTCGAACTTAATTCGAACTAGTAAGTGCGAACTAGGCTTAGTCCTTGTACAATGAGGTTTACCTAGTTCGAACTAAGCGCTCCGCTAGTTCGAATTAAGGGGTGTGTAGCCCCTTAATTCGAATTAATGGGAGGCTAGCCCTCCCCAGCTTTCCCTGGTGGCCACTCTGGCCAACACCAGGGAAACTCTATTGCCCCCCTCCCAGCCCCAGGCCCCTTAAAGGGGCACGGGCTGGCTACAGTGCCTGTGCCAGGTGCAAGCCTGCCAGCCCCCAGCCAGCAGACCCTGCACCTGGCCCGGCTAGGGCCAGCCACCCGATGCCCCCCAGCCCTCCCCCTCTTCCCAGGACCAGGCTGGCGGCTCCCGGGAGCTTGCCCAGGACCGCAAGAGGGGGGCCCCCGCCTGGTCCAGTGCAGACATCGTGGACCTCGTCCACAACCTCCGCAGTAGGCACAGTGAAGCGCCCATCTAGGGCAGGAGAGCTGCCAGCCTGGCCACCCAGGAGCAGGTTTGCATGAAAATCAAGGTGGTCCACTGAGACCCCCGACCCTGAGCCCTGAGCTTAGAATGGCCGTACTGGGTCAGACCAAAGGTCCATCTAGCTCAGTAGCCTGGGATAGAGGGGATGGATCAAAGACAGTGACCAAGCCATTTGTCTCGTGCCATCCCTCTCCAGCCTTCCACAAACTTTGGGCAGGGACACCTCTCCTTCCCCCTGGCTAATACCACTCCATGTACCCAACCTCCATGAATTGATCTCACTTCTCTTTAAACTCTGTTCTAGTTGTAGCCTTCACAGCCTCCTGCAGCAAGGAGTTCCACAGGTTGACTATTTGCTTTGTGAAGAAGAACTGTCTGTTATTAGTTTGAAGCCTGCTACCCATTCCTTTCCTTTGGTGTCCTCTAGTCCTTCTATTATGGGAACTAATGAAGAACTTTTCTATATGCACCCTCTCCACCCCACTCATGCTTTTATAGACCTCTATCATATCCCCCCTCAGTCTCCTCTTTTCTAAGCTGAAAAGTCCCAGTCTCTTTAGCCTCTATTCATATGGGACCTGTTCCAAACCCCTTATCATTGTAGTTGCCCTCCCCTCTCCCACCCTCTCTCTTCCCCTCTCCCACCTCCTTTTCCCAGTCTCCCCCAGTTTTGTTCAATAAAGAGAGATTCTATTTTTGAACAGAATTGTCCTTTATTTTGTACATCAGGAAGGGGGGTTAGGGAGGGGTAAGTGGAAGGAAGAGAGGGAGGAATGGGGTACGAACCCCTTATGGGGAGGACTGGGCTGGCTCTGCGGGATTCTGGGGGTGGACCCTCTCCTGCAGCCCCCCAATTGCCCCCTCTCCCCAGAGGGCAGCCTGCGGCAAGTGAAGCCGGTCTGATGGCCAAGTGCTGTGATGTGCCCAGTGTGGGTACTCCGGGAAATCCAAGCCAGGACTGCTTTGCAAGCGGGGCACCCCTGAGAACTGTCTGTCTGGGGTGAGGGTCGGGTCCCTTTAAGCACAGCCCTCGGCTAGCCTGAGACAGCAGCTCCACGCTCTAAGTCCTCATCTGATGCCCTGCCGGCACTGCTTCCAGCCATCCTGAACCCCGGTTCAGGGTCCACTCTGTGTGGACATGCTAGTTCAAATTAGCAAAATGCTAATTCAAACTAGTTTTTTAGTCTGGATGCGTTAGTTCGAATTAGCTAGTTCGAATTAGTGCTGTAGTGTAGACATGCCCCCAGACCACTTTGATTCTGCCTTTTAAATGTAGTAGGAGTCAAGCGCTCTTACTACATTTAAAAAGCAGAACCACAGTGGTCTGGGACCTGTCATGAGCTGGGACTGCTCAGTCTCAGGTAGCGTCTGCTCCTAGGAGCTATCCCCCTTATCGACTTATTGAGTAATCGATGGAAATTCCATCGACTACTCAGTTAGCTTATTAACCACTACTTAATATCCCTACAGCTAACTCTGATTATGTATTTCAATAGGACACTTGTCTTAAGGGTTGCTGTGGCCACTGGTATATAAGAAAGAACTGGTTTGGATCAGTTACTTTTCCTTTCTCTGCTCTTCTGGAACAATCAAAGGTAATTATTATAAAAACATTTTAAAAACTTCTGGTGTATCAACACAAACCCTTAAGAGCTTTTGCTTTTGCTGAAAGCAAGACTTTAACATGTTTAGATTATTGATAGCAATGATCCTCACACATTAGAAAGCATGCATTGTTATCATATAACTTCTGTGGGATATGCCATATGTGAGTGTCGCTAATGTTTCCTTGCATAGTCAAAAGAGGTAAAAATGCAATCCAGCCTACAACAGGAATTCAAAGACAAACTTCTCAAAAAATGTTTGGATGTGATCACTGGTTTTGACTCCATTTGCCACAGTAGCAAAACCTAATGTTCAGAAACTGGCTTTTCCAAAGGGTGAGGGGAAGTAAAAGGCTGAGGGGAAACTATACTGAAGTTGCAAGAGCCCCATAGTACCAGACTGGAGGATTCAGTCAGAGCACTCAGCTAATCTTTTTCAAGCTGTAGAGTCTTTTTACTGACCCAGGGTATATAAAACCTTGTAATTACTTGAGAGGACTATGGGAAAATGCCATAGTAGTGGCCTTGTGGGGAAAGATAAAGTGACTGGCCGATCCTACTTATCAGAAGCATCTGAGTTCCTATGCACCAGCCAGGATAGATATAAACTGTGAACAGATCATGGAAGTCTCCTGCTATGGTTTAGACTAGAGTATACTATACAACCTCGCTATCATCCAGAGACTCAGTAATGTTGGGAGTCCCTCAGTAAGGTGTCAGGCAGCAAGTGTGAAAAATCGGGACATGGCATAGCGGGTAATAGGCACGTATGTAAGACAAAGCACCAAATATAGAGACTCCCCATATACAGTCAGGACATCTGGTTACACTATCCCTCAGTAACCTTTCAATTTGGCTTTTCCAGAATATCTCATCCATTTCTGGGAGAGTATTTCATTCAGTTCTCTGGGATCCAAAAACTCAGTTGCCAGCTTGACACTCAGGTTACTTGGTTAGGGTTAGAACAGCTCTTTGACCATCCTGGCCAGGCCCAAATGTGCATGGGTTTTAGACACAGGGTGATACTACAATTCCAATTCATGTCATGCACCGCACAATTTATATTTCCTAGCTACTAACATCTATACTTCTTGCATATAAAGACCAGTTGCTTTGCAGATAGCATAAGGCAAGCATATCAGTTCTGCTTGTTTCTACTTAGTTTGTTTATTATGAACATAGTCACAATAGTTAGTTTAGATAGTTACTAACATTTATTCACAATAGTCAGTTGTTTCAGTAATTACTTGTTCTGGCCTGTTCAGCAGTTACTTTTTCAGGTATATCATGTCTTAATTTGGGAATGCTCAGGTCAGCTATATCAGTCCTACCAGTGGTTCCAAGAAGATCTTCACTCTTTTGCTGTTTTGTTTGCCCTTCACCTCTTCCCTGGTGTGTCCTACCTGTTGAAACAGGTCCTGTTGCCTAAGAGCAACCCTACATTTTATAGGCTTAAGACTGAGTTTTGGTAATTAAATAATCAGTAGTCCTAACATATATATAATTCACTGAGAGTTGGTTTTTCATAGGTTTATGTAGTGAAAGATTGGATCAAAGGGTGCAATATTATTCTTGTATTTGCAATATAGTTGTTTAATTAGCCATTTTTAACTACTTGATATTTTACATAAAACCATCCAAAGAGAATTGTGCAACAGCAGAGATTTTTTGTCACTCAGCAGAGATGGGGAACCATCTAGTCCCCAGCTTACCTGGATCCAGCCCCCAAGGCTTGGGGCTCCCTCAACAATTGATAGCTGGCACTGGTGTTCCAGCCCTGCGGATCTCCCTGAACAGGAGCGCCAGCGCTGGCTACCCACTGCGCAGAGTGCTGGGAGAAGCCCCGAGCCTTATGGGCTTGTGTCAGGTGTCTGACCCATGGGCTCTGCCTGGTGCAGGGGGAAGGAAGCAGCTGCTCCTCCTCCCCTTTCCCCTGGCTGGGAAAATGGCAGTGCAACAAAGCACCTCCTAGAGTCTTTTCCTCCACTGTTCTGATTGGCCATAATCACAGCCAAAGGAGCAGCAGAGGGTGGTGCCTCAGAGTGGCGGGGGACACGAATCCATGTGTGTCTCTGGAGAGCTGGACCAGGTATGCATCCCCCATCACCAAAACCCGGCATCCCCACTGGCTCCCCTCCCACCTACACTCCCACCCCCAATACACTTCTGCACCCTACCTACCACCCAGCTCTCCCACCCACTACCTGTTCCAGCACCCTGCCACTCTCCCAGACCCAACACTCCCCAACACCCTCCCTCTTGCCCAGACTCCACATTTCAAGCCTGCTTCCCAGAAGCCCTCTCCCACACACTGAACCCTCAGTTTTGGCCCCACTCTAGACCCTAGGGGGCCCACAAAATCTCCTAGCTCGAGCACCCGTAGGTTCTGGTGTACGAGGGAAATGTTGAGAGTGTTTTTCTGCTAGTTGGTCAGGGGCCACGTCAGTGTGTTTGGGGTTTTTTTGTTTGTTTTTTGCTTCTCACATTTGTGCAGATTTTTCTGTGGCTCAGCAGCCCCTGACCCATCAAAGATTTCCAACTCCTAGCTCCTTAGGTTTTAATTATTGCTGCTTTCTGGGTAAATGTCTTGTTCTAGATTTCCCTTTATATTTTCCTGAGACTGAAATCTACACTCATGGTGTAAAACTGTTTCACCAGGCAGAGGCACCATGTCTCCTTTAACATGGGACAGGATATGTTTTATTGGAGAACCTCCCACAAGGTTTCCCATTTAAAATTTGAGGATTGTTGTCCTTACTCAGAAGCTAGTGAGTGGAATCTCTTGAATAAAGCATAACAATTACTAGTATTTTCTTTTATTGCACATGTTAAAATTTTGAATGGTTATGACCTTTATATTGTGATATAACATCTCCTGCCCTGTAGTTTGCTTGTTTTACTTAACATAATCTAAATATATTCACAGATCAGTGGCACATTTCAAGTAAATACGCCACCAGTTTTGCTTGGATACACGTGGAATAACACCTGTGTATCTCCTAAAGAAGAGAACTGTGGACAGAATGTAAAAGAATGTACCTTTTTAACCATGTTTGCTACAATTGAACCTCAGCTATCTTCTGTTGAAAATGATTCAGAATCAGATAAGGCTAGTGTTTATACTTAATATGCATCAAAATAAAGACTTGCAGAATAGAGTAAATTTGTTTCTTAAAGCAAATTATAATTCTTTTCGGGTATTTTATAGTCTTTGAAATTAGAAATATTAACATTGTAACTGCAACAATGATTCCAGTTTGCAGATCATGAAGATGAAACACTTTTGCAAAGAGCATACATTTTTAAAAAAAATTGCACGGCAAAATTTCCAAAAAGAAGAATAATAACCTCTGTTTTTGACAGTGAAGGAAGAAATATTTTAGTAATGAAATATATTAGGGCATTAAATCCACCACAGCTGCTACTTGATATGCATCTTGATGATCCTAATGCAACTTTTGTAAGTATGAGTTTATTTTCTACCATACAGAAAAAACATTCAGAACTGCTGAAATTAGTCTTTGATGTTCCTGAATTACTACAGGTTGAAACTCTCTAAACTGGGACTCTCTGATCCAGCAACATCCATGGCAACATCCAAATGTTGCTTGACCAGAGAGTCCCAGTGGATCAGAGCCAGAGGCAGGAGCCCAGATGGGCTGGCTGCAGGGGAGCCAGAACCTTGGAGCCCTGCTGTGGGAGTTCAGCTAAGTTGGCAGTAGGGCAGTTGGAGCAAAAAGAGGCTCCGGCAGGACAGTGGTCTTCCCTGGCAGGACCAGGAGCCCCAGCAATAAGGCAATGGTCAGCAGTAAGGCAATGGTCAGCATCCAGGACCACAGGATGCCGCAGCATGGCCAGGAGCCTCGGGGAATTTGTGGCACAGCTGGCATGGCTGGGAGCCCTGGCAGTGGGGCTACGATTAGCTGCGGCAGGGCCGGGGTCAGCCATGGTAGAGCTAGATGCTCCAGGGCGGGACTGTGGGCTGCTGTGGCAGTACTGATGGGGACAGGAGCCAGGAATTTCAGTGGGCTGCTGGCAGAGCACTGGGGCCAGGGGGGGGGCAAGAAGAGCTGGACTAAGGGGCCACAAATAATCTCCCTCGGAGGTCCAACCTGTATGATAACTTACATTTTTCTCTATAACTGCTAAAGAAGCTCCTATTTATTACATGAGTAATTCTTGATAGCGTGACAAGAAACTTAGAATAACTGTTGTTTTATATTTTTTAATAATTCAAAATCGAGATCTGTTCAGTAGATATTTATAACATGTACACCCTGGTATTTACATACATTGCCATTTCATTTCTAGGATTTTATTGCTCGATTTGTGTCTTTAATTCCTTGTATATCAGATACATTGGATGAAAATGCTGATATTGATGTTTGGGTGACATCAGAGGTAATAATTACATATTTAATAATAACTGTAGATGACTTAATAGGTAGTTGAAGTAATCCATTTAATGTGCATTAACATTTTGAATTAAAAATATTTTGTTTTATAGAGCGAATAGCCAAATCTTGACTGCTTACCAACCACAGAATAATGCTCCTGTTGTCCCTTAGCACAGTCACATCCTTTAAAAAGAAGGAATAAGTTCTCAAGAAACTCACACAAGCTGAATCATGTGGATTTTGTGACAAATCCTCCCTCAGAAAGTAGGGTGGGAGAAGGGGGATTATAGGGTGGGCAAGGAAAGGCTGTCTCCAAAACTTCAAATTCCAGGTATTCTCATGTTATGTCTCAGTCCAGGTCTATACTTACCCTGAGATTGATACTCCAGAGATCTATTTTCTGAGGTTCAATTTAGCAGGTCCAATAAGGACCCAATAAATTGACCTCTAATGGCACCCCCTCTGACCACACTACTCTACAGGGTCGTGAAGAATAAGAGAAGTCAACAGGAGAATTTCTCCTGTTGACCTCCCAGAATGGAGACACTGCAGAAATTCGACTTAAGGTATGTCAACTCCAGCTAGCTATTCTCATATTTGGAGCTAAGTATATAAGGTTAACTTTCTCTGGTATTGTAGACCTGACCTAAGTGTCCCTCTTCCACCAGTAGACAGCTTTCTTAGGAGCTGTGCTGGCATTGGCAATCCCTGTGGCTTCTGCACTGTATTCTCTGACTGAGGGGAGATGACAACATAGAATTTCTAGTAAATAACATTTTTTTACCATTTTGCATTTAGCATTGCATCAATTTAGCTGTTGGAAATAAAGAAGAGCATGCAGTGCTTCTATGTAATTACCTTCTGTATTTGGGGAAAAAAGCATGGGTGCTGTTGGGAACATCAGTATTAGAAGTAAGCACCATAATTTATAAAAAGTTCAAATCTTCATTGGTTTTATTCCTCACAATAGCATAAACAATGTAATGTTTATATGTTAAAGATAATAAAATATTTAGTCACTATCATGCTGAGATAAATATATTGGACACATTAGAATTGCCATGCCATATAGATCAATGGTGCATCTAGTCCAACGTCCTGTCTTCCACAATGGCCAGTAACACTAGCTAAGAGAAAGGTTCAAGAAACCCCATTGTGGACATCTGTGGAATAGTGTGCCTTAATGGAGATTTCTTCCTAGCTCCCCATTAGTTAGAGATTGGTTTGCAGCCTGGATGAGTTCATTATCTAACTGTTTAATCCTCTGAGAATCCTACTAGACTCTTGGCCTCAATGATATCAGTGAAAATGAGTTCCACCGATTAATTAGATATTATGTAAAAGTATTTATTTAATCAGTTTTAAATTTGTTGGTTTTCATTTTCACTCAATGTCCCTTAATTCTTATGATGAGAAAAGTTAAATAGGATGCCACTTAGTTTGCTTTCACTATTACATTTGTTATTTTATGTATCTCTAGTATGTCCTCTTATTTATCTTCTCTTTAAACAGCCCAATTTTTTTCAATTTTTCCTAATCTGTTCACTGCATTCATATTTGAATTCTAAATGAATGTTTTTGAGAGTTAGGCTTGCAAGATTAGGTCCTATTTTCACAGGATAGATAGAGCCCTTCAGGTATCCGCGGATATGGATGCAGATATCTGTGACTCATTTTTGCAGATGTGGATGCGGATGTGAATACAAATTTTGTATCTGTAGCTCTAAAGATAGAGAAATATTCATGAGGCAGCGTTAGGTAAACCTGTCCTTGCTTCACCTGTTCTTTCTAAAAACAGAAGACCATAATACGTTGTGTTGTCACTCTGGCAGCTTTCACTAAAGAAATACATACTCTTTGTAAAAAGGAAAAGTAAATATTGGAAGTTCATTTTACTTTCTTCACTGGAATTGTGTACATATTTAATTGATTACACTAATTTTTGTTGGTAGGGGAAAGTGGCATATGTATTAACTCATGAAAATGAAGAATATTTCCTTTGGAATCCCTTGAATGGGCAGTGTTATAAACAGTTTGATGCATTTTGTCCTTTACAGAGTGTTGACTGCTTAATCAATTGGGAGAATGTAAGTATGTAAAATTAAATCATGAGAGATACACAATGTTATGTTAGTTATAGACAAAATATTAAGTGACATTTTAAGGAAATCAAATAATGTAAAAAGTATAAATAATGGGGTTCCAAATATTTATATCATTTTAGAGACAGTACAAAACTTTGCTGCTTTGCTAGCTAGCTAGAATTCAATATGTTTCTACAGTATAGAATCCAATGTTTCTACTCGGATCTTTAGATGCTGTGCAGTATTTTAGTATAACTGAATCTGTGCAATCCTCAAAATCTTTTTATGATTCTGCATCATATGTTTCATCTGCACCACCTTCCACAATGGAGGACAGTAAGATATTTTAATTTTGTGTTTTCTCTTTAAATTTTAAATAATTAAATAGTGAGGAAGAAATATTTCTGCCATGGTAAACCATGGGATAAGAACAACTCTGTGCATAGGAGTTTATAAAACATTTTGCAGACTACTACATGAAAGTGTATTATTTCTTTAAGAGTATTATTTTTATTTTATTTTGGGTGTAATGCTAAACATCTGAGATCTGTACAGCAGTTTCTTAAAGTATGGATTTGATCCTGGAGTGTTTTTAATGCACTCAAATCTTGACTTTAGCGAGAACAAAAGCACTTAGCATTTCAAAAAGTACTCATTGGAGGAATGAGTTCCTCAGAAGTTCCTCTGAACCATAAAGACAGCAATGTCTTTGTTCCATGTGGTTGCACTACAGCTGAACATCAAGAAATCCATTCTGAGATAGGTGCAAAGTATTGAGTTCATAACGATCTCCCTAGGTGCAATATCAGCCAAAGCTTTTTACCTTCTAATGGATAGTTCATGATGTTAACAACCCTTATGTCAAAAATCAAATCAGTTCACAGACATCAACAAAAAATTGCCTTCAGTTACTCTGATGTGGCAGCTTGTACTTTTGTGACTCAGCATGCCATGTTATGCCTTTGTTGCTTCCAAGGCTGGCTTAGAACAATTTATATACCAGACAAATAGCCTAAGAAGGCTGGTATTAGTCCTTCATCAAATAGAAGACTCTCTAAATTGATGGTAAAACTCAGACAACTGCACAGATGCACCATTCATCCAACCTTCCTCTTCCATCAGCATAATAACATATGCATTTCTGATGGCCATATTTAGGAATCTGCACCATTCAAACCAGTACAAACAATCTACCCAAGAGACACAGTTCCTCTCAGCTTCCTGGAGCTGAGGACAGTTGAGAACACGAATTTCCATTTCTTGCCTTAAAATAGGAACAGATCCATAAAAAACATGTCAGACCATGTAGCCTGAATGCTTTATATCAACTGGCAAGTATGTGTGTGGGAAGAAATCCCCAAAGCAATAAGGCTATGGAGCTGCTGCAGAGACAACTGCATCCTAATCTTGGCAGTTTAAATCTTGGTTATACAAAAATTATGGTTGATGACCTCAGCAGGCAGTTCTCCCAGAATTACAAATGGGAGTTGGATTCTTAGACTCTGAAGCACAATTTTCTGACTGGCGAAGTTCCAGAAGCAAATTTCTTTGCCATTATTAACAATGAAAATTTTGCTTGAGGGATGATAGGTCCTCCCTGACTGAGGGTATGTCTACACAGAAAAGTTATTTCGAAATAACTGTACCAGCGTCTCCCCGCCAAACCACTATTTCGAAATTAAATCGAAATAGTGGAGGGCTTATTTCGAAATTGGTAAACCTCATTCCACGAGGAATAGAGCCAATTTTGCAATTGCTATTTTGAAATAAGCGTTAGGTAGATACATTTCAAAATAGGGGGCCTCCAGCCCTTCCCAGGGTGCCCTGGTGGCCACTCTGGGCATAACCAAGAAAACTCCTCTCCCTCCCCCTCTCCCCGGAGCCCTTAAAGGGGTAGACTCTGGCCACAGTGCCTGTGCCAGCTCCAAACCTGCCAGCCCAGACCAGACCCAGTGGCCCCAGCATGAGCCAGGCAGCCAGTGCCAGCCAGCCCTCCACCACTCCCCAGGAGCAGTCTGCTGCTCCCAGGAGCCTGGAAAAGGTGGGTGCCTGCCTGGTCCAGTGTGGAGATCAGGGACCTAATTCAGGTTTGGGGGGATGCCTCCGACATCCATGATCTCCGCACTAAATGGAGAAACGCAACCATCTACAGGTGGATGCCTGCCAGCCTGGCCACCAGAAGCCACATGCAAACCCAGGAGTAGGTTCGCATGAAAATAAAGGAGCTGCAGCAGGCGTATGTCAGGGGCACAGGGGGCAGCTCCCAACTAGGGGCAGACCCAGACCTCTTCCCCTATTTTGATGCCGTGGACTGCATCCTGGGAGACAGGCTGGTCTGTGCCCCCTAGGTGGTCATCGACCCGGGGGCAGAGCTTGCTGCTTCCTGCTGCTCCAGCCCCTGCTGCCTCCTCAGCTACTGCTCCTCCTCCCACTCCTCCCACCCCTACTTCTTCCTCCCCACACTCCTAGAGATGCCAAGGGCTCCGCACCCACAGTCCTGAGAGACAGTTGGGCTGGCGAGACCCGCAACCCTGAGCCCTGAGCTTCTCTTCCCCCTTCCTCCTCTTGCCTCCTCCTGCCAGCTCCCTCCTCCCAGGTTTTCCCCTCCCCTGCCCCACCCTCCCTCTTCACCTTTCCCACCTTCTTTCCCCTCAGTTTCATTCTCTCCGCCCACCCCAGTTTTGTTCAATAAAGAGGCTTTGTTGTAATGAACACATGTGTCTTTTATTGTACAGCGGGGGGGGGGGGGGGGGGGGGGGGTTGTAATGAACCACTGTGTCTTTTTTTTTACAGGGGGGGGGGGGGGGTAGGGATGGGTAAGTAGAAGGACATGAGGGAGGAATGAGGCACAAGACTCCAGTGGGGCACACCAGGGAGACTGTTACTGCCTGCAAAATATGCTGCCAGGCTCGCAGCAACACGTCCAGGAGAAGCACCAGAGTGCCCAGGGGCAGCTCCGGCTCCATGCTGCAAAGTGCTGCGGTGTCCTGAGTGAGGGCAACCAGAGCATACAGAGAAAAAAATGCTTTGCCATCCCTCAGCAAGGTAGGCAAGCAAGCAGGGAAACCTTAGAACCGGCTGTCCGGGGGGGTCCCTTTAAGCACAGGCCTCAGATAGCCTCAGGCAGCAGCCACACAAGGTAACTTCTGACCTGATGCCCTTTCAGAACCAGTTCCAGCCAGCCTTAAATGTGATTCAGCGTCCTATCGGTGTGGACGTGATATTTCAAAATAGCAAAATGCTATTTTGAAATGCATTTTTGTCTAGACGTGTTATTTCAAAATAAGACCTCCTGTTGTGCAGAGATACAGAAGGTGTTTTGAAATAGTAAAGAAAGATCTACTGAAATTCATACTTTCAAAAGTGGAAACAATTTCCCCACTGGTTCATTTAGCAGTGCTTTTTTGTTGTTGTTGTTGTTGTTCATTCTTCATTCTCTGCTGTCCTTGACTATCTACAGGAATTTAGAAGTCCAGGATTATATATGAGTTCTCTCAGGGTCCACCTACTATCTATGGGTATGTCTACACTACCCCGCTAGTTCGAACTAGCAGGGTAATGTAGGCATACCGCACTTGCAAATGAAGCCCGGGATTTGAATTTCCCGGGCTTCATTTGCATAAGCGGGGAGCCGCCATTTTTAAAACCCCGCTGGTTCGAACCCCGTTCAGCGCGGCTACACGGGGCTCGAACTAGGTAGTTCGGATTAGAATTCCTATTCCGAACTACCAGTACACCTCGTTCCACGAGCCGGAAAAAAGCGGTGGACATCTTTATTTAAATCCCGCGGGGGATATTTAAATCCCCCGCGGATTTCCCTATTCTGAAGTTGAAAATTAGCATGCCCCTTTCGGAAAAGGGGCCAGTGTAGACGTAGCCTTATTTGTTGAAACTATATAATAGTGGTTGCAACAATGGTCAGATTACAATTAAATAACATCACGTTTGGATCCTGGAGAGCATGCACACCCACACATATAGTGGAATATCAATAGGGACCACATGTCTCAAAAAACTCCAGTTATTATAAGATAAGTAATCTTCCTTTTCCATTTGACGTTTTGGGAGTTCACTATATGAATGGTAGGTTCAGGTTCTATGTTGTATTAGTGAAATGTTAGCCAAAATTATAGGTGCTTACGTCTAATCATCTTCAGCAGGCAGTATGCATGTACTGTCTTTCCTCGCCCACACTACATAGTTGTATTGGTATTAAGAAAAACATTTAAAAGTACATTTCACATCTTTTAATTTAAAACAACTTTTGTAGCTCAATTATCACATTTTATGCCAATGTTTTGATAGGTCTGGTTCAATGCACAGCAAAACAGTTCACCAATGTGTGTAAGTTTTGACATTTCAAAGGAAGGTTTTTGGAGACAGTTTCTACCATACAATTTCCAGTGCATAAAACCACAAACTGTACAGGTAACTTCCAATTTTCAAAGTTTATTGGTCTGCTAAAGATCATCATTGTTAATATATTGCTGTAATAAGTGGGAAGTAATTGCTTGAATACCCCACAATTAGGCTACATCTACACTGCCGTTTTTTTGTGGCAGAAGATATGCAAATTGCACTCTCATTTGCATATCTTCTGCCGATCCTTTTTGCAGAAGAGGTTTTGCCGCTAAAAAGCTATGTGTAAATGGGGCCATTTGTTGGAAAAAATCCTTTTGTGCAAGATCCCTTATTCCTCAAAAAATGAGGTTTACAGGATCTTGTGCTAAAGGTTTTTTTTCCAACAAATGGCACCGTCTACACAGGGCTTTTTAGTGGTGAAACCTCTTCCGCAAAAAGGATTGGCAGACGATATGCCAATAACAGCGTGATTTGCATATCTTCTGTCGCAAAAAATGGCAGTGTAGATGTAGTCTTAGATGTAGCTTAAATCCTTCTGGGAAAAAGTTAAGTGGGTTGGCTGTGCTCATTTAGAGGAAGGTGATGACTTATGTTACTGGATATAATGTATTTGTGAGTGACTTGATGAAGAAGGGCTCTAGGAGGAGTTGAGCAGTCCTGAAGGAGCAGCCAAGCCTACAGAGAAGATTTGAACAGAACCCTGTCACCTTATTTTTATAAGAGATAAATAAAGTGGGTTGGGAAAGGTGCTTGCTTATTGTACAAACTCTGTTTTCACTCAGATAGTTAGTGGGTAGATTGTTTACTACTCCTACTGAGACTCACTCAAGACAAATCAGGAGCTGTGGAACGTCTGTATGTGTGTGCCAAAGTGACATAAAGCTCATCTTTGCACTGTCCTGATAACGGAGCTATATGTGTAAAAGCAATCTTCAGATATAAATTAAAACAACCTGAGAATTGGTCTAATTGACATGGCTCTTAACAGTCCTAATGGGGTCAAAATCACAGCTCAGGATTGGAGCAGTGCGTGAGTGTCTCTACCGTGGCCTGTACCCTCCATTCACTTCATCTGTGCGTGCAGCTGGGTAGCTTAAGAGTCACTGGGATCATTCTTAGGGGGCCAACTGTTCTTACCTTATTCCATTAACAGTGTGGTGCAAAGTAGCTGCACTTCATTTGAGGATCTGGCCAAATGTCTTGTTATTTCTTAGATGTGTACTGAATAGGATATTATCTCTTTCAGCCAAAAGAAATACTGTACACCCCTACTAATAGAAGCACGGTGGAAGAACTACAGAACAGGTAGGGATCTTTTTGGATACTAAAAGTACATAGTCATAATGGAAGTTTGGGGGTACTCGGCTTCTTGGGGAATCGGGTCAACTGTCCATTAGTTCTCTACCAGATATATCTTTTCAGAACAGCCTGCTAACAGAATTACCTGAAATAAATATTAATTTTATGTACACTTGTCATGTTTATCTAAAATTAGTGTTAAAATCTTAGGACCAGATCATAAAAAATAAATGCTTTAAATAGTGATAGGGAGTTTTGTTAAATTTAAGTAACGAAACATGATTATTTGTAAACATTTTATTACTTTTATCGCAGGATTGAAAAGACCTTAAAAAATAAAATGATGGAATGGCGGTTTCAACAACCTACTCGGTGGCATCGACAGTGTACTGCTCTCTTACGACAAATTCTTCCCAAACTAGAATTAAGAAATAGGAACTTTGTCATAGAGAAAGAAGAAAATAAATTGGAAAGTTTACTGGAACATTATTGGGTTAGTATTTACATTATAAACAATTTAATTTTATAATTTAAATTGTAAACAATATTAAGAGATTAAATTGTATCTATAAAGGTAAAATGTAAGTAATAAGAAGAACATAATGTGTATTAATAGTTGTAGTATTGAGGACAAAAGCTCACATGGTCAAACATCTTTTACCACTGTATTTTAAGTCAGATTATAGGTATGGAAATAATAATGACTAGCTATATAAAAGAGAAACATAAACAACTTTTAAATGCTCAGAGTAAGAACCACAGCCTTACATTTCTTCAAAGTTATAATGTTGACATACAAATATGTAAAAAAGTTTTTTGGCAGAATGCATCTTTTAATAGAACTCACATTTGGAAATTATTTCCTGATATTTCTTTTCATGTTTTCACCCTTTTGGTTTCATGTATTAAAAAATCAAAGGCAATTTCTTTCTATCTTTGCTTTTTACAACTTTAAGATATACTAAGATAGTTATTTAGTCTCCCATTTCATCATCATTTAAACGGACTGAACTAGTTGTTATTCTTCAAGTGATGGTCCCTTTGTGTTACACACATGGGTGCACATGCCCACCATGCTTCTAAGAAACATTTCTGGACTTAGCAGTGTCTGTTGATCTGCATGTGTATAGTCTGTTTCCTCGCACTCCCAGCTAAGGATATAAGCAGGGGCAGATGACGGTTTTGCGGGGCCCCGGGCAGCATACTTCCGCGGGGCCCCCCCTTTGCCATGGCGCACACTCAGTGACGCCATGCGCATGCGCAGCGACGCCACAGCGCATGCGCGGGGCTTTCTGAAGCGTGGGGCCCGGGGCGGCCGCCCCGTTCGCCCTGCCATATATCCACCCCTGGATATAAGAGGGTCAATGCTTCTTCAGTGCCCTCTTATTGCTGCATGGCCTGAATCAGAGCCCTTGTTTCTCGCACTCTTAGCTTACTAGTAGGGTGACTTAACTTTTTACAGATTTTATAAATAGTTTGTCTTGGTGATAGGTTAAGTTTTAGTGCAGTAATTCTCTTTCCTATTCAGAGACTGTATCTTTCCCTGAATATGCCCAGGATTCCAGTCTTCAAAAACTGTGTGTGCTGCCTGCTCTCCTCCTGTGTAAACTACAAATACCAGGGGTGCTCTCTGCTGCTTGGGTAAGGCACACATTGCAACATGCGCATATGCTATAAGTTGGATGAGGGAAGCCTGCGAGTTCTGGCTGAGGTTGAACCTACAAAAGAGGCCTATTACCGCTTTCTATGGGGCCTGCCATACCTCATGTACCTTTTCTTTTGAACATATGGAGGATCCTGAGATCCATGATCCATGGATTATCTCAGACCTCCTACCAGCCGTTCCCTGTACACCCACCAGCACCATCTGTGTATGAAGAAGAGAACTTTGAACAGGTACTGCTGGAGATGGATAAATCTCGTTCACTCTTAAGGATTCCACATTGACATTATGGTCGTCAGGGGCATCAGCTTTATGGAAATTTTGGTGGTGCCCAGAGACCACACCTTTCTGCCATCTAAATTCCCCATCACCACCTGCTTATGACTCTAGGGGTATGTCTACACTAGCCACTCTAGTTTGAACTTAGCCACTCTAGTTTGAACTAGGGTGGCTAATGTAGTCATTCAAATTTGCAAATGAAGCCCGGGATTAAAATATCCCGGGCTTTATTTGCATGTTTCCGGGCACCGCCATTTTTAAATGCCTGGTAGTTCGAACTCCCTGCTCGCAGTTAAACGTGGCACGGGCTAGGTAGTTCGAACTAAAGCCCCTAATTTGGACTACTGTTACTCCTCATTGCAGGAGGCTCCAGTTTGTGGCTCTTGTCATGAAAGATGCTTATTTCCATTTAAAGAGCCACTCAGCCCACCACAAGTTCCTCCATTTCTGAGCAGAGCATCAACATTATCAATTTTGGGTCCTCCTGTTCAGTGTAGCAACCGTGCCAAGAGTGTTCACAAAGGTTTTTGCCATGGTAGAGCCCCAGACGTGACACCAACAACTGTCTTCTGGTAATGCTGTCATGACAGGAAGCTGCTGTCTTTGCAGTCTCCTAGCATCCTAGGTGTCTGTATCAACAAGGAAAAGTCAGTGTTGATACCCACACAGACAATACACTTCTTTGGGGCATAGTTCAATTGCATTCTGGTATGGGCTTTTATCCCAGCAGACAAGTTCACAGTGCTGTCAGCCCTCATTACGAGCCTGCATCGCAGACTGTACACCATGATTTGCCGGTGTGTCTGCCTCCTTGGGTATATGGTAGCCTGCACCTATAGGACACCTCCATACTGCTGTCTCCAAACATGGATTCTCTCCCTCTACAGACCCAGCAAAGATCATATAGACTTCAGGATCACTGTTCCTGGGATCATGCTGTTGTCCCTCACATGATGGTCTGATCTCTTCAAGATCATGATTGGCACCTTCTTCAACCCTCCTACACCATACGTGACCATTGTGACACACACCTCCCTAGTGGGATGGAGAGCTCACTTAGGGAGCCACATAGTAAAGGGGTTGTGGATGCCATGGAAGGCAGACTGCACAAAGATGTGCTAGAACTTCAGGCAGTCCATCTCATATGTCAGGCCTTACTCCGACTCATATGGTCCCTCTTCATTTTACTCCTCTCAAAGAACACAGTAGCATTCATCAACAAGCAGGGTGAAGCCTGAGCTTCCTCCTTCTGTTTGAAATCAGTCTGACTCTGGAACTAGTGCATCTGGAACTACATGATGCTTCAGGCTGTGTACCTGCCAGCAAAACTATCTACCTTTACCAATAATGGGAGCGACATGACACCATGTGCCTGGACCTCTTTGTGAAGTGGGGCACTCCCAATGGGACCTCTGTACTGGACATAGAAACCAAAGCCTGCATTAGTATTGCTCCAGAGGAACTCTAGGAGAAAGGCGGAGAATTAGACTTCTTGCTCCCGCCCCTCCCCCGACTTTACATGGCAGGGGAATAAGGAATCAAGGGATTGTCTTAAAGCTATACAAATCATCAGTTGTAGTAGGGCAGAATAAGGAGAGGGGGTTAGTATTTCACTCTCTGACCCTGTTGTGGGGAAATAATTTAAAGGTTGTATACCCTCAATTGTAATAGGGTCGAGCCCAAAAGAATGAAACCTAGTGTCTCCATTCTACCGTCGTATAAGGTCTTAAGGGTACAAGACAAATAAGAGTAAAGATTCCTATTAAAAGCAAACTGGGCACATTAGTGCAAAGATTCAGAAAGAGACCCTCACGAAGAGGAGAAGTAAAGTCTATCTTTGGAACAAATATTGCAGAAGTTTAGGCATAGCCCATGGTCTGACAATGCCTTAGCTGATATTTATACCATGCAGACCTTGAGAACAAACTGGGTAAATATTTATGGGTTTACACACTCTTAACCTCAATAAAAAGAGATACTGCTGCAATCTGGCTGTTATGAAAAGCCTGCGATGAGGCATTTAAAAAATTAGCTGACTGAAGAAATGAAAATTTGGATTTACCCAAGAAAAGGAACCAGGAGCTGTGGGGGCTAGTTGAAGAGCCCTCCCTACTTGCTAAACTGGTAGTGAAACAAAGTCTGTGTCCAAAAGGGGCCATTCAGCAAGAAATGCAGGATTGTGCCCAGACAAGCAGGCAAGCAAGCAAGCAAGAGAAATTGAAAAACAGGCTTAGAGCCCTGAGGACATAGTGGCAGGAGCAAGGAAAATGAGTAAGTGCACACATTGGACATTCAAATCCTTGGAATAATACTTGGAATGGTAATATCTATACTAAAGAAGTTTTCATTTTAAGGAAAAAGCAATGAGTGATAAATTAACTGGAATCTGGAGGAAACTGAGCAGTTAAAATATTGTAAAAATGCTGAAAAGGAAAAATTTTATAGAAAAAGAATTCTTGGCTTCTTTGCAGCCTTTCTGAAGGAAAAATGGGCCCTTTTCCAAAGGAATGTCTATAAATAATGCAGGCAAAGAGACAATCTAATAATCATTTGACTATGAACACTTTAGTCAAATTTGCTAAAAGAACACAGGGATTTCTATTGGAACTTAACCACTCCAAAGATATTAAAAGGAATGTGTTTTTTGTACAGCTATGCAGAAATAATTAAAATAGAGTACAAAAAGATGTTAAGACTATGTATGTATCTGTTTGTGAATATATATGCATATTGTGTAAATATGTGAGGCTTTTAGGACCTAACCATTCTGTTTTGCCAGTTTCTGAAATTTTGTTTTGTAGGCTCGAATTACATTTTTTTTAATAAGGCCATTTCATTCGAAGTTGCAAAACCGATAAGACACTTTATGCCAGATACAGAAAACTAGTGTTGTTTGATTTTGGAATTTAGCATTTAAACCTTAAGGCATTTCAGTGCTTTAGAAAGTTCAATATTTTGTTATAGATCAAGTTATGGCTGGTACAAGAGGCAGCCAGACCCAGGAAAATGTGGAGAGATTCTATATGGCTACAAGTTCTCAGGGCAATGATTTCCTCCTCTGTTGGACCGGTGACCTTTGCTATATGTTTTCACCCAGTCCTCTCCTACTGCAAGAGCTATGCAAGATTCTCTGGCTCTCAACTCTATTTGGGTGCATTTAGCAGCGGTTAGCACCTTTCTCCCACTTGTGGATGGTACTTCTGTGTTTACACAGCCTATCATTATCCACTTCATGAAAGGATTATCAATATCTTTCCACAAGTGCTGAAGTCCTCACCCCCATGGGACCTTAATCTCAGTCTCTCTGCCCTCACAAGAACCCCTTTGAACTGCTAGCAACATGCTCCTCCCCTCACCTCTCATTGGTAGCTATCTCAGAAAGAGGCAGTAAGGAGTGCGGGGTACAGAAAGGGGTGCTTCAAAACAGTAGCGCCGCATGAAACCCAGGGCCAAACCAGTCCCTGGCTGGCCCTGAGCTTCATGTGGTGCTGCCACTTTGAAACACCAAGGGGAACATGGGACAAGAGGGGACTCAGCTAGCCCTGTGCTCC